TAGGACTGTGGTTCATCCACATCCACCTCTTCAGCAACCTGAAAAGCATATGTCACCATGTCCTCAAAGCCATACCTCTGTGGCGGTACTCTTGCAGTCGCTCTCCTCGGTCTACCGGAAGTTATAGACTGTTGAGCTCCTGCACTAGAATGTGAAGTTTTTGGCACATCAGAAACATTCTCATGTTGATCTTTTCCATATTGGTGCTCAAACTCACTCTCTTTGAGAGTTTGCAGCTCCACCTGTTTAATAACATTCCTGCTATCTCCAACAACAGTAACTTTGAATATGGGGTTAAACATAGACTTTTCATCAAATATCACATTCCTTCTAAGTATGACATATGCCAGAAGGTGACCAAAATCGAAGTCCCTTAACTTCATCTACGAAACCAACAAAAACACCCTTCTTTGCTCTTAGATTCAGCTTACGTACCCTCATCCACATGATAGTAAACATGACAACCAAAAACTTTCAATGAAGTATAATCAACAGGCTTACCATACCACACCTCATAAGGAGTCTTACACTCGATAACTGTGTGAGGTCCACGGTTGATGAGGTAGCACTCCATGTTTACTGCTTCTGCCAAGAACCTCCTATCTAGTCAAGCATTAGAGAACATGCACCTTACTCTCTCCAACAATGTCCGGTTCATCCTTTCTGCAACGCCATTCTGATGTGGGGTGTCTCTAATGGTCCGATGACGGGCAATCCCTTCATCCTTGCAGAATTTGTTGAACTCAGAACTGCAAAACTCTAAACCATTGTCCATTCAAAGTTTCTTGATCATCTTCCCAGTCTGATCCTCCACCAAAGTTTTCCACTGCTTGAACTTCGTGAAGACTTCACTTTTCTGCTTCATCAAGAAAATCCAAGTAAACCTTGAGTAATCATCAATAATGGACATAAAATACTTGCTGCCTCTAATGGATTCAACGTGTGAAAGACTCCAACAGTCGTAGTGGAGGTAATCTAGTATCCCTTCGTCCGGTGGATACCCTTCTTAAGAAACTTGCTGCGATGTAGCTTCCCAAACACACAATGCTCACAAAATTCCAAATTTTGCACCTTGTGCCAGCAAAGAAGATCCCTCTTCAACAAGACTTGCATTCCTCGTTCACTCATATGAACCAATTTCATGTGCCAAAGAGTGTTCATATCTTCCTGATGAACCAACGATGATGCAACTGCAACAGAACCAAACAACATAGACCCTTGTAATGCATACAAGGTCCCTTGCTTCACGCCTTTCAACACCTTCCTTGAACCTTTGCAGACATACACAGCTCCACCTCTTCCCTTGAAATTGAGACCCTTGCTCTCGAGTAGACTCAAGGAGATCAGGATCTTCGTAATTTGTGGAACATGTCTGACTTCGTTCACGGTACAGAACAAACCATCATGTGTCCGAATGTTGATAGACCCGATTCCAACCACCTTGCAGACAGCTTCATTCGCCATAACCATGTTACCACCATCTATCTGCTCGTAGGTTAAGAAGCTTTCTTTATTCAGAGACATATTATATGAAGCTACAGTATCCAGAAATCACACAACACCACGATGTGCCTTCTCATCTACAACCAATGTGAGATCGTCTTTAGAACTGTTGTCCATTTCTGCCATGACAACAAATTCTTGATTCTTCTGATGCCCTCTCTTCCTGGGACAGTTGTACTTCCAATGCCTCACTTCCTTACAGATGTGACAGACATCACTTGGTTGGTACGGGACACTTAGAATTCGAGTTTCTGTTTAAATTCCCTTTACCAGGTTTCTTCTTTCCCTTTCCACCTGTAACAGCCAACCCCGATGCTTCATCACCTGTACCAGATCCGAACGCCTTAGGTATGATCTCTCTTGTGTGAAGAGCAAATCGAACATCCTCCAACGACAAGCTATCTTTACCAGCAATAAAAGAATCCATGAAATTCTCATGTGAACTCGGCAAACACACAAGCAGGATTAGGGCAGCATCTTCATCATCTACTTTCACATCTATATTGCGTAAATCTAACAATATAGAATTAAGTTGCTCCAGATGTTCCCTCAAAGGCGTACCTTCTTGCATCCTCAAGCTGAACAACCTTTGCTTGAGATGCAGCTTGTTGGTTAGAGACTTAGTCATGTACAGACTCTCCAGTTTCAACCACAAGCTCGCGACAGTCTTCTCAACATCGATTTCAATGATGACGTTATCAGACATCGATAGCATGATGGTCGAGTGGGCCTTCTCCTCCAAGGTATTCCACTCATCGTCATCGACCACTGCCTTCTTCTGTTTAGCAGACACCGCCCCCACAACCCTTGTTGTTTCAATAAAGCCTACATCTTGATATGTCATATAGCGAAGCTGTTCTTCCCTGTGAACTAATCGATCTTCAAGTTTGCTGATGTCATTCTTCAGAATCGAAACCCTAGCCTGATTTCCAACTGGCGCTCTGATACCACTTGTTACGACTATTTTCTGCGGATCAGAAAATCGGAGGATTCGACAAATCAAGAATACGAAAACGGAAAGCACATGACACACGGTTTACGTGGTTCACTAACACAATGTGTGTTAGCTAGTCCACGGGCAGGAGAGAGCCAATTTTCACTATACTTCGAGGAGATACAGTTTACAGAGGAGCATGAGAAGTATTTATAGTACTTCTCCTAGGTCTAACCCTAATCCAATCTGGTAAAAGAAAAGCGATTACAACCAGGCCTAGAAACCCCCGTGACTTCTAGTCGTAGCGGCTGATAGTCCGATTCAAGTCATATCAAAAGTATGGAATCATCGAAATGGTCAGATGGAGGATAACGACGAGTGGAGACGGAGGCAAGTCCCCATTATTAGTATTTAGTGGTTCCAAAAGTTTTGTTACACTGTGTCTACATATCTAGTTGCGGGATGGAAGGCGAATGACTGCAAATCATTGAGTTCAAAATGTAGAGATAATTGTCTTCCAAAATGAATAAGGCGAGGGGTCGAGGCAGACTTGGACAGAGAGCGCTCGAAGTTGTGGTCATAAGAGACGACCAAATTGAACATAAGGTGTTGGAAATCGGATGGAGGAAATTGGTGAGAGCAGATCGAGTAGGGAAGGATATATTTTAAAAAAAACAAAGAGAAAATGAGGGATTTTAAATGATTTAAAACACGATAACTAGGTTTGCAAAATTTGACGTGCTCAAAATCCATCATCTTTTATCCGTTCCCAAACAAATGAGGAATTTTACAATGCTATATAGCATTGGTGCTATAGGTTTTTTCATTTATGGTACAACTTGAAATTGTACATTTAATGTTATGGTATAACTTCAGATTGTACCTATACGTTTTGTACAAATTCTTTTATGGTACAACTTAAACTTGTACTTTATGTGATCGTACAACTTCAAGTTGTAAAGTTGTACCATAACATAATGATACAAATTCATTTATGGTACAACCTAAACTTATACATTTAATGTTACTAGTTTTTTGCCCGCGCTTCGCGGCGGTAAGAAACTAATTATATTTAAAATATTTTCCACTTATTTAAAATTTAGCCAATCCGCTTGTATTGGTCTTTAAAATGCCAACAATTATATCATCTAATAGCTCTTGGTAATATTGGTGGTGAAAAATTTATTATATTTAAAATTTCATCCACTTATTTAGATTTTATCCTATCTGCTTGCATTGTTCTTTAAAATGCAAACTATGCCCACTAAGATAGCTCTAGGTAAAATTCCCCCTTCTGCAACTATAGGAGTCTTGAATGCGTCATGATTTAGTTGAAATAAAAAAAAAATTCAACAAAATAGTTCAAGTAAGATTTTTTCAGAATTTTTATGTAGTGTTGTCATTATTATGGAATACTTACGTGTCATGCTTTTGATAGATAACTAAAAAAACTATATATTTATAAATTTTTTAATTTTACATAATTTATTTAATTTTTATAGACGATCATAAATAAATTTTTCGTAATGTTTGATTTAATAATAATATTAAGTTATTATTAAGTCTCACATTTGATTGAAATTTATATAAAATTAATTTATTGTGCAAAGACTTTGCATAATGCAAATTGATGATATGGTGAATATTGTAGGTAATAATAAAGAAATTTTACATGATGCATTCATAAATTATGTAATTATCATAGAATGGTATTGCATAAATCTTATGTGATGTGTGACCTAATAATAGTAATAATAAAATCAAATTGAGAAAAGTATAATATCTTATTAAACTAATACGTAAAGCTTAATTACCTCATTGAACTTTCGCGTGATGCAAATTGACGATATAGTGAACATTGTGGTTGTAAATACATAAATCTTCCCTAGCTTGAAATGTAAAATACCAATATAATTGACTGTAGGAAAAAAAGAGCTTATGGAATAAGGGGAAGGAGATGGAAAACGAAAAACTATCAAAAGAATTGAGTGTAGAAAAAGCAATCTTATGGTAAAAGTTGTAAAACCGTATAGGAGATTGTACGGAAAAAATCAACGGTATATTATTTTATGTTAAAACAATGGTTTAATCGTGGTTCAACCGTTTCATGTCATTAAAAACTGCTTACATATTTAAACTTCAGTAGGAGATTTTTCTGGTCAAACCGTCAGTACGGGATGGTTTCACAAACACAATGCATAACAAACTATGTGAACAGTTGTACATATTTAAACTTTAGTTGGAAATTTTTCTGACCGGACCTTCAAAAATATAGTTTCACAAACACACCGCATAAAAACCCTGTGTGAAGTGTGAACAGCTGGGCCGTGGATATTGGAATTGTTAAATAAATAAGCAATAGTAAAATTATGAATTTGTGTAGATTGTAAGCCAACCGAAAGAATTTGTGGGAGTACATAGCCCAACATAAATGCGATCACACGAAAACAAATCCTCAATGAATAGTATATTTGGATGTAATTAGCGAGAATTTCGTAATGAATAGTGTCGCATTCTTGAGCAATACTATATAGCACAGTAGAAGTGCTCCAAACAAATAGGTTGAACAAATTCCAACAAAATAAAGAATAGTGCCAAATACCCTAGGGGGTCGTTTGGATCCAGAAAAGTGGGCAGGGATTTGGCCCAAATTTTGGCCCGTCTAGGAATTTAATCAATTCCCACGTTTGGATAGCTCTAAAAACATCCGGGATTTGGGCCACAGGGAATTTTAAATCCGGCCCAATCGGAAATTGGAAATAGCTACCCAACCCCAAGTATTTTGAATTCGGGCTTTAATTTATTTGCTTCTTCGCAGCGTGTCCCCACTATTGTTTTGTTATTCCTATTATACCCTTAACCACAATTTTCCAGACAGAACTCTCATTCTTCATCATTCGCGAGAAACCTCTCCCGTAACCTACCGCCGTCGCGGTAGAAAAAAGTTCGCGATCCCGACTAGAGAAGGACGCTCGACGGCTATTGGCGGTGACGGAAGCGAGGGTGAGCGAGCTTCTCCAACATACACGTTTGCGGCGACAAGATACCAGGTTCGTCACCTCCTTATGGAGTCTGGTTGCGATTTCTAGGGTTTGCCGATTGTGTTGTCGAGGGGGTTAGGGAATGAATTTTTAGTATGTAGTGCCTTGTTTGATGCTTCTTGTGTACGTGGGTTCTTATCTTTAGGGTTGATGGATTTATGCGGGCGAGCTTTTCTGGGTTCTTATTAATCTTGTATGCTTCTTCTGTTTGTTTTTATTATGAATCACTGTGGGTTCTTATGATTAGTGTATGCTTCCTCTGTTTGGCTTCTTATAATATCCAAACACCCTTAGCTTTTCCTTTAGAAACCCTCTGTTTTGGTCATCTAAGAGAAGAGAAGAGAAGAGAGATCCTTTCTTCCTTCCTTCCTAGCTCGGTCTCGATCATCTATGGTTTAGTAAATGGTAATGCACTTGAAAATATATAGAGTGCTGCACTGCAGTATCCAACAGAGTTTTGAGTTAGATTACAACCTGACCAAATTAATGCCCAAAATCCGGGCCAGGTTTCCCTCCACGATATCATTTGTGAACTATTACTAGCTCTCTAAAACTTACTGCTTGCTTGCTAATCAATCATTGCTACACAAACTAATTGACTACTTGACTTTCCCTCTACTGCTACTGCATGGCTCGATGACTATAATTAATTAGCTTAGCTGCAGTTTACTGCATCGTGGTGGACAATCTGCATTTTATTTCACCCTTTTTGTTCAATCTAATTCATTCACTATAATGATTAAGTTCTTCTGTACCAGTAGTTAAGTGGCAGCCTCCAGTCCATTATTCTGCTACTGCATGACTCAAGGTAACAGTTTAGGTCTAGTTCTGCATACGAGAAGGCTTAGGTCTAGTTCTCTCACCTATGTGCTTGAATTGATATCGGAATTCAAACTCCCTTCTAGTGGGATGTCACATCATCTGCTATCTGTTGCTTTTGGTGTTTCCTGCTACTATGGTTGTTTCAGTTTATTCTATCAGGATGGGGGGAAAGAGGCATGCTGGTGGAGACAAGGATGGAGCAACCTCCAAAAAGTACTCATTTTGGCCTGAGAAGCTTGACAAGCCTTTGGTTGAATGCATTTTGGAGCTGGTGGAGAAGGGGCTCATTGTGGATGGCAATTCCAAAAATAGCGGATATGCAGCACTCGAAAAGATGTTGGAACAGAAGGTACCAGGCTGTGGTGTTAGGGGAAGACCCCATATTGAAGGACGGATTAAGAAGTTGAAGAAAAACTGGCAGGCTATCACATTCATGAGGAATCAAAGTGGATGGGGGTGAGATGAGGCAAACAAGTGTGTCAATGCCTTGATGGGAAATGGAATGATTTTGAACAAGTACGTATGCATATATTTATGGTGTGTTGTCTTTTGTAGCATTATACTAGGCTGCTTATATGTTGTACAGTCCTCCAAGTATGTATGCATGTATTTATGGTGTGCTGTCTTTTGTAGATGTATCCGACTTGTCGAGGTCTGAACAAGAAGCCATTCCCTGTGTATGATGACTTGACTCCAGTATTTGCCAAAGGACAGTAGGAGAGAAGAAGAAGAAGAAGAAGAAGAAGAAGAAGAAGAAGAAGAAGAAGAAGAAGAAGAAGAAGAAGAAGAAGAAGAGTGCACAACGAGGTTGCTTGGATGAAATGTATGCTGGATGTTGTTTGAGAACTCGGACAAGTTTTTTTGTTTTATTAATGCTAGTTTACTTATGCTGGATGTTGTCGGTTTACGTATGTTGAACAAAGAACTCGAACAAGGCTGTTGTGTTTTGGGATTTTGCAGGAAGTTTTGAATGCCGGTTTACTTATGTTGAACAAGAACTCTTACAAGTCCGTGGGAAGTTATGTATGCAAGGTTATGTATCTTGAAGTTATGTATGCAGAATATGTTAATCCCAGAATTGAGTATGTTACATGGTTACATATGTTGTTTTTTTTATCAGTTTAAAACCATAATTGAGTATGTTGCAGGGTTATGATTCTGTTAAATATGTTAAGGGCATATGTCATGTTTGGTAGTAAAACAAAGGCTGCAACTGGGAAAACCCAAATCAGAATGGTCTTGCAGTGACCACCTTCTGCTCTGAGTCGTGGGGAAAAGCTATTTTGGAAGACTACAACGACGGAAGGAGTGGGGGTATAAAGGTACTTTTACAATTGTTTTCATAATTAAATTTCCTGCCTAATAAATCTCTCATTCCTAAACAAACAATATATAGAAAAAGAAAATGGCTCTTCTGCTCAGAAATGAAATGTTCCAAATGTTCATGGAAATTCTTGCTCCCATTAGACCATTTGTATCTATATGCATTAGGATCCCAATTCATGGATCTCTCGGGGTTTAAAATACCAGATTTTTAATTGAGTGATTGTGGACCAAATCTCTAATTAATTAAATTCTCAATCCAAGCGAACCTTAGTTGAAATCTCTCGACCAAAGTACCATTTAATCTTTTTTCTTCAATTGCATTTTAGTCTATGTCTTCAACCATCTTGCTAATATAAACGTTGGACTCCTAATTATCCTTTATCTTTTGCCTTTTCCTTGCACACTTTATCCACATGAGAGAAAATTGCCAAATGGAGTTTGAAACAAAACCCATCAACTTGACAGAAACACACTTTAAAGATGCGTTTTGGATATGAGGAGTGCTTGGATTTGTATGTGATATGAAATTCTAAATATGAAATTATTTGTTTGAATATTAAATAGATATGGTAGTTGGATTTGTTTATGGGTGAATTTTAAATAGATATTTAGTAAACATGTGTGAATTTCAAATAGATACTAATATATATTGATTCAAAATTCTCATAGAATCATATATGATTTGTTTATAAAATAATTTAAAATGTTTAGGTATTATAATGCAAGGAAAAAATATATAGATACTTAAATGTATTTTGACACCTTAGATACTAAAATATCATTAACAAAAAATGGAACGTCTTACCAAAAAATGCCGAAATAAAAAAATATAATCAATTTTAATATTTCTAAAAATTGTAAACGAATATTTAAACAATAGTTTGAATAACATATTTTTTTAATACAAACATTGTAAATTCATATATTTGAAATACAAATATTCAACCGCATTCTATAACAATTGAATTACTTGACAATCATGTCAAGAGTAAAATTCGAAGAACATTTGTAAACAAGATTGATGATCCAAAAAAAAAAGGGGCATGTCGTGTCGTTGTTTGTGAGTATCCATCTTTTGTAATTAGGCATGTAACATTTAGGAAAAAATCCAAAACTACCACTGTTTAAAAAAAAATTACAAAAATACCACCCACTCCAGAAAATTTCCAAAAATACCATGCTTTTTTTAAAACCGCGCCTCGGGGAAGCGTTTTACATAATAACCGCGCCTTGGGGAAGCGTTTTTAATTTTCAGAACAAAACGCTTCTGGAAGGCGCGATTATAGGCTTACTCTACCACAAAACGCTTCAGGAATAAGCGTTTAAGTGTCGGCATTACAAACCGCCTCCCCAAGCAGCGGTTTATAGTGTCAGGACACAAACCGCCTCCCCAAGCGGCGGTTTTTAGTGTCAGGACACAAACCGCTGCCCCAAGGCGCGGTTTGTGCCTGGTCACCCGACAGCAAACATGTCGGACATGTCGGCATGCAGGAGGTAGGGCTGGTAGGGCTGCATGGCAGACCTAAAACCGCTCCCCACCCCCCCAGCGGTTTTGGTGCAAAATTTGCCTATAAAAGGCAGTTTCAGAGAACTCAATTCTTCACACCTCCTCCTCTTCCTTCTTAAAATTTCAGCTTTAAGTTATTTAGTTTTTGCGATTAACGTTTATTCGTAAGTTTGTTTCGTAATTACTTTTCATTGTCCTTTGTGATTTTATGTTAGTAACTTAATTACTTTCCATTGTCATTTGTGATTTTATGTTAGTAACTTAATTACTATTCATTGTCATTTGTGATTTTATGTTAGTAACTTAATTACTTTTCATTGTCCTTTGTGATTTTATGTTAGTAACTTAATTACTTTTCATTGTCATTTGTGATTTTATGTTAGTAACTTAATTACTTTTCATTGTCCTTTGTGAATTTATGTTAGTAACTTAATTACTTTTCATTGTCCTTTGTGATTTTATGTTAGTAACTTAATTACTTTTCATTGTCCTTTGTGATTTTATGTTAGTAACTTAATTACTTTTCATTGTCCTTTGTGATTTTATGTTAGTAACTTTATTACTTTCCATTGTCATTTGTGATTTTATGTTAGTAACTTTATTACTTTTCATTGCAGATGGCATTCCAAAGGTTCACGCTTGGGTTGCGGTGGAATGGTTACACGGAAGAGACCGAAAAGGGTGTAAGTTACGTCGGTGGCAATTTTTATAAAATGAAGGTCTGTACGAGACCGATGCTTGAAGAGCTCCATCAAATGTGCACCCAGATTACCTGCATGGATGGCACTAGAAGAGTTGGTCGAATGGTGTATCGATATCCAAACAAACATGACGGGTCGCTGTGGAATGAGGAATTCCTCCTTACCACTCAGGAGGACGTTGATGCCATGGTCCAATTTTTGACCACCAATAAAATTAAGCAAGCGGAGATGTTCGTTTACACCGAGGTCGTCGATGGCAGTGTAGGTCATTCTGGAGATGGCCAAACATCTGGTATCCACGGTGGGAGTGTATTATACGAAGATCATCCCCACCAGGATTTCCAAGAGTCGAGCTGGAGGCAGGAGTATCATCATGGTACTGGAGGAAGTCATCAATCCTTCCCTTCGTATGAAGAAGAAGCTCAACAGGCGGATTACAACCAACAAGCAGGCTACCAGTACCCACCCGACTACAACTTCTATCAAAGCGGTGTTAGTTACCACAACTACCATTACGGAGCTAGTGAAGGTGAAGGTGAAGGTGCCTTTAATGCCGATAGTCAGATGGAAGAAGAGGTCAATCCAAGTCCAGTTAGTGACCATGAGGTTGAAGAAGAGGAAGGCGAAGTTAGTGCAGACAGCGACGATCCGCTGGAAGGTGCTGATGATTCCGGTCCAGATTCAGACGCAGATGGTGATGAGGTAGCTCACGACCGTGTACCTATTCCATACTACAATCAAATTAAAAATGAAGATTGGTATGTTGATGCCGACATGGACCCGCCAGATGTGCCAGTATGGGGTCCACTAATTGGCTTTACGAAGGGCCAACAATTTTCAACGAAGAATGAGGTCCGACACGCTATTTCCACTGAAGCAATGACTCGTAGTTTTGAATGGAAAACAACCCATTCCGAAACAAAGAGGCTGATGGTTCGATGCAAAAATGAAAATGAGGGATGCAAAGCTAGGGTCCGGGCCATCAAGAGCAAGAGAGTCGGCCATTGGGTCATATCCCGTGCGGTGAACACACACATGTGTGTCATCAATAACATCCCAAGGCCATCGACAGTTGAAATCAAGGGTGGTTGCCGCGGCTATCAAACATCTAATTGAGGAGCAGCCCGACCTGAAGGTCAAAACCATTATCGCCCACATTTCTAGTCGTTATGGTTATATCATTAACTACAAGAAAGCATGGCATGGGAAACAGAAAGCAATGGCTGCCGTGTTTGGTGACTGGGAAGAATCATATGCATTCCTTCCCAAATTGATTTTGGCGTTGGAGGTGTCTAACCCTGGCACCATTTTCTCGCCTCGCTACCAAGATGAAGAAATTCAATCGCTGGCGCCTGGTAACAATTGCCAATTCAAGCATCTTTTCTGGGCCTTCAAGCCATGTATTGATGGTTTTCCATACTGTGTTCCTGTGATTCAAGTTGATGGAACATTCCTTACCTACAAGTACAAGGGTACTCTACTGATTGCCAGCGGAGCAGATGCAAATAGATTAGTATATCCATTAGCCTTTGCCATTGTGGAGGGAGAGAATACCGATAGCTATGGCTGGTTGTTCAGACAAATTCAGCTCCATGTCACTAGGCGGACGAACCTGACTATCATCTCAGATCGCCACGCCGGAATACGGGCTGCTATCTTAGGCTTGGATCCAGCCTGGAACTGGTCACAGAGATGGTGCATACGACATTTCAAGAGCAACTGGAACCATCATTTCAAGCGAAAGAAGCTTGCTGACAGTATATGGTGGATCGGTAAGCGTTCTAATTAATTGTGTCTGTACATTTTTTTCAACTGTATAAAAGTATGGAATGTTTCAATACAATACAACACTTATATAGACTCTTTATAATGAAATGCATGTCTAAGGAAATGGGGACTTAAGCGATCATCATGATCCCCCCATGACCTGGGAAAATCGGGTTTTAAGCGATCCTCGGATCCCCCCTTTTTCTGTCAAAAAGACTGTGTTTCTAAGGAGATGTATACCTCTCCTAAGAGTCTTACGAGTGTACTTGTATTGGCAATAAGGTCGATCTTGCTTATCTGATTTTTTTTATATTCAACAGCTGTCGCGTACCAAGAGAAGAAATTTAAAGAGAAGATGCAGAATATCCGTCAAATATGCCCTGAAGGTGCGCAGTGGCTTGATCAACATGACCTTGAAATGTGGACTTTTCATAAGGACGGAGGTCACAGATGGGGTATTGCCACAACAAACTCAAGCGAGAGTATCAATAACGTCTACAGGGAATGTCGTGCACTCCCCATCTCTGCAATTGTTGAAATGACATTCTGGAAAACAAACAGATGGTTCGTCAACCGTCTCTACTGGTCTGAGAATAGGGAGGCATTGGGTAAGGTACACTCCGATTATGTCATGAAAATAATGGAAAAAGATAATCGGAAGAGCTCTCGTCATACAGTTACTGTGATGAACCGACATGATGGCGAGTTTTCGGTCGAGACTAGGCACTGGGAGGATGGGAGACGTGGGGGTCATCTCCATGTAGTCACCGTCAACTTTAGGAGTAAAAAGGGGGAGTGCTCTTGTCAGAAGTATCAGGGTAGAGGGATACCATGTTCCCATGCAATGGCTGCAATAAAGCACAGGAGCAAAGACCCTCGTCATTTCGTCAGTCCGTTCTTCAACATTGACTCACAAAAGAGCAGTTATCGTACTAGTTTCCGTGCATTGCCGGATGAAGCTTACTGGCCAGTTTATGAGGGTATGGTCATCATTCCACCAATCGGTCTTAGGCGGGTAACAGGGCGCCCACGGGTAAAAAGGATTCCAAATGAAATGGATCAAAGTGGAAGACCACCGCGGGGGCCAAGGCGGTGTTCCATATGCAAAGTACCCGGTCATGATAAACGAAAATGTCCCGGACCAATTGGTCCTCAAAATGCAGGGCCCGATGTGGTGAACCCGGATAATGGCGCTTAGATTGATTTCATGCGTTTGTTCCATCTTTGTTTATTAATTTCAATGGTTACTCTACTTGTATGTTGTGTGCTTAAATTTGGTGCAATTTTCACAAGCTTAGAGATTTGCACAAAACACAAACTTTGGTGCAATTTTCCATCTTTTTGAATAAAACCTTTCACGAACACAAACACACTACATGAAAAAACTAAAAAAAAACTCCAACTAAAAACTCCAACTAAAAACACCATTGTTCAACTAAATTTAAACAAAACATGACTTAAAATAAATACAACTCGCACACTCATGCATTATTTCGACGATTTGCCCTATGTTTCCTTGTGCGATGGGCGACTGGTCCACCGGGTGTAGCTGATGGTGGAACGGGTGGCAGATTCCTATTCGCCGTAGAAGGGCGATCCTCCGTGCTATGGCGCCTCGGTTCCGTGAACGATGGCCCCTCCGTCTGCAGTCGAGGGCTATCCATGCTCATACGGTGGGGAGTGGATTGCCATTGTTGTTGCCATTGGTGTTGAGGTCGATTCCAAGGTGAGA